CCTAGATTTAGATCTAGATTTAGACCAGGTTTAGATCTAGATTTAGTCCTGGTGTAGTCCTGGTTTAGACCTAGATTTAGACCAGGTTTAGATCTAGATTTAGTCCTGGTGTAGTCCTGGTTTAGACCTAGATTTAGACCAGGTTTAGATCTAGATTTAGTCCTGGTGTAGTCCTGGTTTAGACCTAGATTTAGATCTAGATTTAGACCAGGTTTAGACCAGTGGTTTTTGACAACATATTTTATTTAGTTTTGGGCTGGAATAGTCATGTTTTAGACCTGGTTTAGTTCTAGTGAATGAAAAGTGATTGTTTTTTTTCAGAGTTGGTATTAAAAATGGACTTTTGTGAGCGTTAAGTCGTGTTGTAATGTCGTTATCTCGCCAAAAACAGACCCAAAGTTGTGTTTTGTTTCATTCACACATGTTTGAGGAACTTTTTATTATTAGTCTGTCTGCATCTCCAAAGCTCAAAACGCTCTGTTCCACCTTGTGACGTCATGAAGTAGTGATTTTCAATTCTGACATGTACAAATTGTTCTAGTGAAGGTGCACGGAGTTTAAAAACACAATAGAGCACGTCCTGTTTTATGACATGACATCACAAGGTGGAGCGGAAGAACAAAATAAGCCTAAATATTAGGGATGGGCATTCGATAAAATTTTCTTAATTGATCGTCAGGAGAATTAACGATCGATTTTTGATTAATCATTCACGTTTTTATATTAAAATTATTATTACTATTGCTGATCTGCATAAATAAACTCAACTTTACAACATTTAAACCATAAAAACTCTAGAGCCACATCAGCCCGTTTGACATTATAATGTGTTTAACGCAGCTTTGACACATTTGTTTACGTTTTACAGAAATGAAACTTAAAGGTAACACTTTATAATAACTACACCTTATTTAGCCTTAATAAAGCATGAACAAAGATTTAATTAGTAATGATTTTTCATTCATTCATTTTCATTTATTTCTTTGTTTGAGCCAGGTACAACTAAATTCAAAGACAATAACAAAAAGAGTGAAAAAGGACGAGGATGAAGTTTAAAAAACTTATGGAGTCCTACCCCAATTGTTTTACATAATCATGTGGTTCACTTTTTTTTATTTATTTTTTTATTTGAATCACCTTTGGAGTGCTTACCTGTCATTTCTATATTATACAATATATATAATATATATATATATATAATATATATATATTATATACCCACATATATACAAAAACATATCTACATATACTTACATACATATGCAAGTACACACACTTGTACACACATATGTACATACAAACATACATATATACATCATAAATATCCAGTACATATACTCAATATAAATGTTTACACACATGCATATCAACATATACATACATGCAGAAACATATTTCTGTTTATAGTCGTACAAACTAATAATAATATTAATCTAGGCACAAAGTTTATCGTTTATGATCGTATAAAATAAACAGTAACGATATATAATGATTCACACTTAGTAACTACTTAATTACTACCTACATTAGCACTTAACATGTATTTAATTTGCCTGTGCTGTATATAGTTACTCATAAGTATTTCTTACTTTATTACTCATGAACTAACCATTTGCGTGTGCATTTGTAAATGTATATTTAAGTACAAATTTGAACATTTATTAATGATTAGTAAACCATGAGAGAATGATTTACTAATAATGCATTATTGTTTCTCTGGAATTTGACCAACCTTAACAAATGTTTAATAAAGCATAATTAGTCTTCACTTTAGAAAAGCTCTCAGAAAGACTTAACTAACAGATAACAGCTGCCTGAATGATCATTGCATTGCATTATTAGTAAATCATTCTCTCATGGCTTAATATTCATTAATAAAAGCTCAAATTTGTACTTAAATATACATTTGTAAACATGCAAATGGTTAGTTCATAAGTAATTAAGTAAGAAGTACTTATGAGTAACTATTTACAGCACAGGTGAAGTAAGTGCAAGTTAAGTGCTAATTCAGGTAGTAATTAAGTAGTTATTAAGCGTGAATCATTATTAATTAAGTCTTTGTTCATGCTTTATTAAGGCTAAAGTAGGTGTAGTGTAAAGTGTTACCAATTTAAAACCACATGACTCATTTGCATAAACTATAAGCTCTGAAAAAAAACAGCTCTCTCCTTGTGCGCTGATGCAGTTCAGCTTCTGTTGGACTAAAGGACACGACTCGGTGGAATATGAGTGTTCTTTCTGTGACAGAGGGGTGTTCTGCTGATGGTGAGTCTGTTCTGTGTGTGTGTCGCCTTGGAGATGGTTCATGTTTTCAGAGATTATATGTGTGCAGGTTTAGTGCAGCTCTTTATTTAACATCATTTCACTTTATTTATGTTTTAAATATGCAGGGTTTGCTTGTAAAACATGTGTGAATGAAATAAAAATCAACTCCAGGTCTGTTTTTGATGAGGAAACAACATTTCTGTTTAACATGGATCAGTAAACAGTGTAATCTGGGCCTTTTAACTTACAGAAGACTCATTAAACTACATAAAAACTCTCCAGACTGAAGTAAATCCGCTCTGTGTGTGAGTGGAAATAACTGGTGTGAGTGACAAACACACTCACCTTGTTCTCGTGTGGGGTGAGATCCTCCTGCTCCTCAGACTCAGGCTGAGGTGTGGGTTTTCACGCTGGCGTCTGCGAGTGACGCCACATCTGTTAATCCCCATCGGCGCGGTGGAGTTCTGTCGGTGCTGCATCAATCCTTCCGTTCTAAACTAAACTGTATTAAACCAACGTACTTTACATGAAACGACACTTCAGCGCCGCGATTTCACACAGAACAGTTTAAAGGAGACGTGTGGATCCTGCAATCTGACACTTGAAATCAGATCTAGTGTTTTTGTGTCTGTTGTATCGTTACTTGGTTATAATCAAATTCACAGAGGAAAAAATTAAAAACTGGGACTAAGTCGTGGGCCAAACTAAATATTTATTGAAAAATTTCAACAACATCTGCATGTTTTCTCTTCTTTCGAGATCTGTAATGTTAAACCTTTTCTTATTAAAATAAGTTTTTAATAATAGTTTTTCTTAAACATTGAATCCAGAACAAACAGAATATAAAATATTAACAACATTTTAAATAAATAACGTCTCTATAGTCGATCTGTAGCCCACGGGCAGCTAATACAGATTTGATATGATCTTGTGGGTCCCGGGCCTGAGTTTGAGACGTCTGCTCTATGAGACCTGTGGATCAGATCCACTGTTTCCTGCGGATATGCAAAAAAATATCTGTGTCTCACGAGTGTGATCCACAGATTTATTTATTTTTTTTCATTTGTACGATATAAAAGAATGAGAACTTTGCACATGAGTTACTTGAGGCGGGTGTGTTGGAGGAGAGGGAGCAGCCCAAGAACATAGAGAAACATCCCGCACATCGTCTTACTTGCAAAATGTGAGATTTATTAGGACAAACATGTCCTAATATTATATTTTTCTATGTTCTTTCTATGTCTATATGTTTTATTTGTACCATAGTGAGTACGTCGCACTGTTGACAGTGGGCGTACGGTGAATAACACAGAACCTGAGTTATTATTGTCTAAAGTTGCAGATAAAAAACAAACACATCCGTACATTTTTCTCATTCTCATTGTCAGTATAAACTCAGAACCTCCAGAATTCACTCCCTGAGCTGCAGAGGCTGCACCAGCACTGACTCATGATCATTCATCAGGGTTCCCACGGTCATGGACGTCCCGGAAAAGTCATGGAAACTGAAAACGTCCTTATCCAGGTCAAAAGTCATGGAATTTTAGTATCTCTTTCACACAGCTCCAGCGTTCGGTTAAGTTCTGGTGAGACTATTATGATTATTTGTGATCATCTGCGCCTTTTGTTTAAAAGATCATGTTCACTATTTTGATTTTGAAATGAAAGGGCAGAGAATCGGTCGTGCAGTTCTTTGGCAGGACGTCGATGGACTTGTTTTATTATTAAGTTGTTTTAAATCAATATCGCGGTTTACAATGTACATAATGTAAAATCAATCCTGTGTACGAGTTTTACTAAAGAGCTCAGATAAAAACAGTGAACGGAGCAGGACTGGGGGAAGAATGACGCACTGTGGGGGAAGATTTTTAGTTTAGTTTAAGATTTTCAGCCCACGGGAAAAAAAAATCAACTTAAAACCTAAATCTAAATAAACGGTGCTAATTTTAATCATATATTTGATTAGACCCACTCACAGCAAGGGACCATAATCGTTTTTTTGGCACAATGAAAAAAAAAAAACAAAACAAAAAAAACGACTAAACCAGGACTAAACCAGGACTAAACCAGGACTAAACCAGGACAAAACCAGGATTAAACCAGGACTAAACCAGGATTAAACCAGGACTAAACCAGGAGTAAACCAGGACAAAATGTGTCTAAACCAGGTCTAAACCAGGTCTAAACCAGGACCAAATTAAGACCAGGACTAAACCAGGTCTAAACCAGGACCAAATTAAGACCAGGACTAAACCAGGACTAAACCAGGTCTAAACCAGGTCTAAACCAGGTCTAAACCAGGTCTAAACTAAGGCCAGGACAAAACCAGGACTAAACAGGTCTAAATCCAAGACTAAACTAGGACTAAACCAGGACTAAATCAGGACTAAACTAAGACCAGACTAAGACCAAGACTAAACCAGGACTAAACCAGGTCAAAACCAGGACTAAATCAGGTCTAAACCAGGTTTAAACCAGAACCAAACTAAGACAGGGACTAAACCAGGACCAAACTAACAACTACAATGAAAAAAAAAAAAAAAAAACACACACAGAAAACCTAGTAATTTTTACAAAAACTTACATACTGTGGCTCTTTATATATATATTTTTTTAAAAACTTGTCATAAATATTGGATTTTTTCTTCTTGCAGTTTTGCCCTGTTTCTGTATTTTCTCGTGTTTCCATGTAAATATTTAGTTTATATTTTGACCTCGTGTCTCTGTGTCTGCAGTGTCTCCGAGCGACCACAGCATGGGCGGCTTCATGAGTCCCGTCTTGTCCCTGGAGACGCCGTCGCTCAAACAGGCCAACGGAGAGCTGAGGCTGGGGCCCCACTGGAGGCCCCAGAGCCCCAAGAGCCCCAAGAGCCCCAAGGTCCTGCGCCTCAGTCCGCAGGAGAGCAGGTACGAAAAACCAACCAAAAGAATCACGAACTGAAGATCACGTCCTGTCAGGGAAAAACAAACCGACTGAAAACAGACAAAAAACTGAAAAACAAACCGACTGAAAACAAAACAAAACTAAAAACAAACAAACTAAAAACCAACCAAAAGAATCACGAACTGAAGATCACGTCCTGTCAGGGAAAAACAAATCGACTAAAAACAAAACAGACTAAAAACAAACCGGACTGAAAAAACAAACCGACTGAAAAACAAACCGACTAAAAACAAACCGACTAAAAACAAACCCACTGAAAACAAAACCCACTGAAAACAAACCCACTGAAAACAAACAAACTAAAAACAAACCAAAAGAATCACGAACTGAAAGATCACGTCCTGTCAGGGAAAAACAAACCGACTAAAAACAAACCGACTGAAAAACAAACAGACTAAAAACAAACCGACTGAAAACAAACCGACTGAAAACAAACCGACTAAAAACAAACCGACTAAAAACAAACCGACTAAAAACAAACCGACTGAAAACAAACCGACTAAAAACAAACCGACTGAAAACAAACCGACTAAAAACAAACAGACTAAAAACAAATCGACTGAAAACAGACTAAAAACAAACCGACTAAAAACAAACAAACTAAAAACAAACAGACTGAAAAGAAACAGACTAAAAACAAACCGACTGAAAACAAAAAAACAGACTGAAAACAAACCGACTGAAAACAAACCGACTGAAAACAAACTGACTAAAAAAAACCCGACTGAAAACAAACAAACTAAATACAAACAGACTAAAAACAAATTGACTGAAAACAAAAAAATAGACTAAAAACAAACCAACTAAAAACAGACTAAAAACAAACTGACTGAAAACAAACCGACTGAAAACAAAAATACACTAAAAACAAACCGACTGAAAACAAAAAAACAGACTAAAAACAAACCGACTGAAAACAAACCGACTAAAAACAAACCGACTGAAAACAAACGACTGAAAACAAACCGACTGAAAACAAACCGACTGAAAACAAACAAACTAAAAACAAACCGACTGAAAACAAACCGACTGAAAAACAAAACCGACTGAAAACAAACCGACTGAAAACAAACCGACTGAAAACAAAACAAACTAAAAACAAACCGACTAAAAACAAACCGACTGAAAACAAACCGACTGAAAACAGACCGACTAAAAACAAAACGACTAAAAACAAACAGACTGAAAACAAACCGACTGAAAACAAAAAAACAGACTAAAAACAAACCGAATAAAAACAAACAAACTAAAAACAAACCAAAAGAATCACGAACTGAAGATCACGTCCTGTCAGGGAAAAACAAACCGACTGAAAACAAACAGACTAAAAACAAACCGACTGAAAACAAACAGACTAAAAACAAACCGACTGAAAACAAACAGACTAAAAACAAACCGACTGAAAAAAAAAACAGACTAAAAACAAACCGACTGAAAACAAACCGACTAAAAACAAACCGACTGAAAACAAACTGACTAAAAACAAACCGACTAAAAACAAACCGACTGAAAACAAACAAACTAAAAACAAACAGACTAAAAACAAACAGACTAAAAACAAACCGACTGAAAACAAACCGACTGAAAACAAAACGACTAAAAACAAACAAACTAAAAACAAACCGACTGAAAACAGACCGACTGAAAACAAACCGACTGAAAACAAACAAACCGACTAAAAACAAACAAACTAAAAACAAACAGACTGAAAAGAAACAGACTAAAAACAAACCGACTGAAAACAAAAAAACAGACTGAAAACAAACCGACTGAAAACAAACCGACTAAAAAAAACCCGACTGAAAACAAACAAACTAAATACAAACAGACTAAAAACAAATTGACTGAAAACAAAAAAATAGACTAAAAACAAACCAACTAAAAACAAACCGACTAAAAACAAACTGACTAAAAACAAACTGACTGAAAACAAACCGACTGAAAACAAAAAAACAGACTAAAAACAAACCGACTGAAAACAAACCGAATAAAAACAAACCGACTGAAAACAAACCGAATAAAAACAAACCGAATAAAAACAAACCGAATAAAAACAAACCGAATAAAAACAAAACAACTAAAAACAAACCGAATAAAAACAAATCGGCTAAAAACAAACCGAATAAAAACAAACCGAATAAAAACAAACCGAATAAAAACAAAACAAAACTAAAAACAAACCGAATAAAAACAAATCGGCTAAAAACAAACCGACTTTTTCTGAGAATCTGAAACAGTTTGTATATGAAAGAAGAAAAGTGCAGAAGACGTGAAATAAAGAACACAAGACAGGGATTTTTGTGATAAAATGGGCTAAACTAAAACCAGGACTAAACCAGGATTAATCCAGATCTAATCCAGCTCTAAACCAGGTCAAAATCAGGTCTAAACCAGGTCTAAACCAGGTCTAAACCAGAACCAAATTAAGACAAGGAATAACCAGGTCAAAACCAGGACGAAACCAGGTCTAAACCAGAACTGAACCAGGCCTAAACCAGGTCTAAACCAGGTCTGAACCAGGACTAAACCAGGACGAAACCAGGTCTAAATCAGTTCTAAACCAGCACTAATCCAGGTCTAGACTAGGTCTAAACCAGATTAAAACAAGGTCAAAACCAGGTCAAAACCAGAACCAAACTAAAACAAGGAATAACCAGGTCTAAACCAGCTCGAAACCAGGTCTAAATCAGGTCTAAATCAGGTCTAAATCAGGTCTAAACCAGGTCTAAACCAGAACTAAACTAAAACAAGGAATAACCAGGTCAAAACCAGGACTAAACCAGTTCTAAACCAGGTCTAAACCAGGTCTAAACCAGGTCTAAACCAGGACCAAACTAAGTGAAACTTAAGGCCTCAACTCTTTCCAAACTTTAATGTGAATATCTCCAGAATTATTGGTCGTATTGACACAAAATAAAAACTGTAGTGTGTAGAAATAATTTTTTTTTTTTTTAAAATTCCCCATATCACCCAGCTCCAAATTGTCCAGCTAAAAAGAGTCAAAGGGATATGTCAAATTATTTTTATTTATTCCAAAAAAAGTGAGTAGTTTATATAAAAATCTGGCTCTGGCTCTGGTGGTGTCGCCTGTTTGTCTTCAGGGAGACAGATATTTTTAATTCCACACTTTGAAATATTTCAGACAAAGCAAAACGATCCTGGGCCGCCAGCACAGATAGACGACACATCCACGGTTTTCTCCTTCTGGGTCTATAGACGGGGTCAACATCAGTGACCACACAGATCAGAGACGCATTTTAGGTTTAAACCAACTGGATTTCAGCTTTGAATCTGGCAACACAAATGAAAGACTCATGTGAGGCTCATTTTTCTTTCTGAAATTACAAAATAAAAAAACTTTACCAATTTCAGGCCTAAACAGTGAGAGATACATCATACTATAATACTCCCTACAACTGCACAACAACTCACCCTTATGTAACAGATAATACTCCCTACAACTGCAAACAAGACATTATATTTAACCGTTTGTTGAAACAGAGGTGTTGTGAATCCGTGTATCATTCTTTCATTTGTTTTTCAAAATAAAACCAAAAATAAGAAAATGAAAAAAAACAACTATTTTCTTTATTATTTGTCTCCAAAACCAAAATGAATAAAACAGATAATGTTTTTCGATTTTGTGTTTAAATGAAAAATGGAAAAAAAAAAAAAAAACAAAAAAAAAAAACAAACTTAAACTGCGATGCCAAATTGAACCAGGACTGAACCAGGACTGAACCAGGACACCAGAACCGAACCGGGACCGAACCGGGACCGAACCTAGACTAAACCTGAACTAAACCTGAACTAAACCTGAACTAAACCATGACTAACCTGTTTTCAGTCCCAGTTTGGTCCTAGTCTCAGTCCTGGTCCTGTTCCCGGTCTTGGTCCTGGTCTAAGTCCTTGTCTCCGTCCCGGACCTGTTTTAGTCCTGGTTCAGTCCTGGTTCAGTCCGGTGTCACAGTTTTTAAGTCACCTAAACGGGAAATGGTCGTTATCCGCTTTTTCCAAAATCAAAAACTGAAAAAAACCAATCATTCATTTTGATTTTGGAGACAAATAATGAAGAAAATAGTTGTTTTATCATTTTCTTATTTTTGGTTTTATTTTGAAAAGCAAATAAACGAATGACACACGGATTGTTGTGGCCTTCCTTTCAATCAGAACAGTCGTCTTTGCGATAATCATGCCTTCAAAACTTCTTTCCGTGTTGTTGTTTTTGTCGTCAGATGCTAAAATAATCCTCTAAAAGATGCGTTTTCTCGACTTTCACTCCTATAAACGTCATGACGCTCCATCTCTGTTCTGTTTTTCCAGTTTGTCGATGCGGGCCAAGCTGCTGGAGTCCGACAGCAACGAGAACCGGGAGTCCAAGGACGATTTCGAGACGTACCGACCCCAGACGCCCACGCCTCCGCCCGCCCAGAACGGTGAGACCACATCACGGCCGCTCGCTTTTACCCGCCGTTATAACTCACTCTGGCACCGGGCCGCGATCTGAACGACACGCCCCTGAATAAAACATGCGCCGAGGACTTTTCTCTCCTCCTCCTCTCTCCAAAAAAAAAAAAAGTCTGGGATCAAAAACACGGAACAGATTTTAGGAGGTTATTATTTCATGACCATTAGTGAAGTATTTCCTGTGGTTAGAAGATCTTTTGTAACAGACCGATGAGGCTGATGGATGCCAGCACACACACACACACACACACACACACAGTGATACTAAGCAATTTGGGAGTGTCTTGCCGAACCAGGACCAAACCAGGACCAGCTCTGCGTCTGAAATGTGACACTGACAGGATGGTTTGAGTATTTTGTGTTCATGAACCTCAAGATAGAAAGAGTTAAATATAAAAGTTAATCGAAATAGTGACGATGGTAGCTTCCGGAAAAAACACAACACGAAACACGAGCAATGGAAAGATCGCGGCGCACAGTTTTAGACATAATGAGGAGCGGACGTATTTTATGGATAAGTTTAGAGAAAGTGACTTTTATAGATTTCAAAGTGATGTTGAAGTTGATTATAAAGTGGAAAACAGCGATAGCGACAGACTTTCGGGGAGAAGGTAAGACGCTGATGCATCTGTGTGGAGTCCTGCGATATCCGAACAAACTATCCGGGCTTTATACTCGATTATGAACCAAAATTGCCCTGAAATCACTCGTGGAAGTCTGTTTTCTTTTATGCAGTTATGCTCTATGGGTGTAGCCCTAGTAACATATGTATGGGTTGTTCCTAGTACAAGTCCAGGGGGGAAAGAGTTAATGCCGCTGGGACAACCTGTTAAAAGCAGTGGGTCTGGCAGTTGTTAGAGCGAATTCCATAATTAGGAATAGGAATTAATTTATGGACAAAATAGCAAAATAAAAACCCCAGGATGATGTGGAGTGGGTTATTACGAACATTTTAAAGACCAGCTCTTGGGGTTGCTCTGTCCAGTCTATGAGAGGGACCCACCTCCAGATCTTGAACTAGTCTTGATCAGGACGAGCTTCGCTGGAGGATTTGACCTGTTGTGCGCCAGAGTATTTGAAGGAAACCCACCCAGACACAGGGACAGACGCCAAACCCAGAACCTTCTTGCTGTGAGGCGAAAGTGCGAGCAAAGAAAACAAAATAAAAGAAGATTAGACATTTTATGAGTAAAATAAACCGTTAGAGAGCTTGCATTTACTCAGGACAGTCCCAGCTTTGAGCCCTGTGTCCCCTGTCCCAGCAGATTTATCCAAAACTAGTGATTTGTCCCAGTTTCATACAAGAAATGCCCCATGTGTCCCTATTTTTGACCAAATTGATCCCTGCCAACAGTGACGAGAGGGATACATTGTCATTTGGTTTGGTAAAATATGGAAAATCTGCTTAAAAATGACCAAAACACAAAGAAAATGTGACTATACTGACTCACATGTTCGTCATAAATGGTCTCTGTGTAACAATTTTCCTTAATTACGCATTCGTTTCACAATTTTATCATTACCAACCATTGAAAAAACACGGCATGTCCCAGTTTTTTATTTTAAAAACTGGTCACTGTACTGAAAAATTTAAAAAATCATCTATAAACATGAAAGAATTAATGATAAAAACATTTTTTTTTTTTTTTATTTAAAAGGGACAATGCATATTCATGAACATATACTTGTAAATACACCAGAATTAGCCCGAAGGTACTTTTCATCTGTCGTCCCTGGCAGGTCAGAGAGACAGAGACATAAAACATAAGAACATAAAACGTGTCACAATAGACAAACACACAAGCATGACACACAACACTGACATTTACACAGGAGCAGAACATTAGTGGTTACAGATCTGGTTTCTCTTAAGCCGTCGTTTCAGATTAGTTTTAAATGAAGTGAATGTGGTGGAGACTCTTCTAGCAGCTGGATGTTGTTCCAGATTTCTGTTCCTTGACTGATCACACCTGTTGACTGAAAGTTGTTCTTCTATAGAGTTTTGCACAGTCGTCTCTGGTCGAGGCTCTTGTTCCCCGACCACTAGAGCTGGACTTGGGCTTAATGAACTCACCCAGAGCTGCTGGAGCGAGTCCATTTAACACTTTGTAGACTGAGCAGGAGAGTTTACATTTTTACGATATTATACTTCTGTAGTATGAGACAATGATGAAACGATAAAGATTTACTATCAAATATCTTTAACGCTTTTTTAAAAAAGTGATTCTATTATTTTTAAGGTTGTCATGTTTGTCAGTGACCAGTTATGCAGTGTTCAATATGAGAGAAAATCCTGCTGTGGAGAAACATTTTAGCTGCATTTTCTGGCAATGATGATCTAATTTGCCTAAAATTGTGAATATTCAAATTAAGAATTTTAAAACACTGATGAAACCTTTCTGTTGCAGGCTCTTCGTCCAAAGACAGCCTGCGCCTGCCTCTACCTCAGGGCGACTCGAGCAGCGACGGCGGGGGGTCCTCACCCGCTGGCTCCCCGCACCCAGAGAGGAGCTTCCTGGGCGGGTTTCTCAAGAGCACCCATCAGGCGCTGGTGGGCGGCGGCTCCCTGTTGGCCTCCGTGGCTCTGGGTCGCGCTCTGGACATGCCCCCTCCCGTGCCCCCCCGCAGCAACCCCCCTCCCTCGGCGAGCGCACCCCCTCCGAGCCGGACATCACGCTCCCGAGACCCCCCGCCCCCGCCGCCCTCGCCGTCGCCGCCGACCCTCCCGTAGTGGACGACCTGATAACCTTCTCCACGTCGGAACCGCTCCCCAAGCCGCTCCTGGACCTCGCGCTGCAGCGGCAAGAACTGAAGCCCCTCCCGCTGCTGCTGACCCCGCCCCCTCCCAACCCGAGGGAGAGGAGCGGGCACCGGACGCCGCAGACCCCGCACAGCCCCAAGGCGCCGCGGACCCCCCAGCAGCAGCAGGACGTTTGGGTGAGCTCGGTCGGCTCGGGGGAGTGGACTCACAGCGTCCAGGCGGCCAACGGGGAGCAGGGCTGTGAGGCCTGGGAGCCGCCCACCGAGACCCACAGGAGGAGGAACAGTCAGGGTCTGCACGCCTCGCAGCTCGGTGAGTGTGGAACGAGCAGTTATAAGAGCAAATATTTACACTGGAACTGATTTACAGAGAAAAAGGTGAAATAAAAAGCCCAGGATCATGTAGAGTTGGTTAATATGAACATTTTAAGACCAAAATGACGAGGTTCACAGCAGCAGGTTCTACAGATGCAAAGATATTTGATGTACAGTCGTCCCTCGCTATATCGCGGTTCACCTTTCGTGGTCTCGCTGTTTCGCAGATTTTTTTTAGGGCAGTTTTACATGCCTTTTTTTTTTACAGTCAAGTGGTAACGGAGGGAAACAGGGGCAGATTTTTTGACATTCAAATGTCTCTTATTCAGAAACTAGAGGAACTATTGAAATAAGTAAAGTATCAGAATGTAGGAAAGAGTTACACTCCAACAGGGTCAAGTTAAACCTGTGATATTCTTTCAAGTTGTTGACAAAAAATTTAAAAAAACTCATGTTCGGTAACGGAGGGAATGAAATATGCAGCACTTTTTGGGCAATAAATCCAAACAGTGATAACTCTTGGTTCTCACTTACATATCCTTAACAAACTGGTTTGAATATTTGCTTCATATAGTTTTCTACCATATGGTACAAGATTAGGTTTGAAAAACCTCTTACTTTTTGACTCATAAGATTTTTTATGAAGAAAGTTCATGGTAACGGAGGGAAAAGTAACGGAGGGAAAATTGTACAAACAAGTAGAAGGTGCAGGATTTTACATCATTTGTCGCTTTTTTCTTCTGAATACTTTAATATTACTTCAAAATGAAAGGAAACTATTTCTATAAAAAAATAAAAGCAAATTTTTATCATTTTAAATACTTTTTTTTTTTTGAAAAATCATGTACCTTCATCAACAGTTCAAAGATGGAATAACACAAGATATGATGAAATACATCCATTTATTTACATGATTTTCAGGTCTTTGAAATTTGGGAAATAATTTTTGTTCCATGTTTCATACATGGTCTGTTTAAAACGTCTGTAATTTAGAACCAAAAATGGTACAGAAAAAAGGTCAACAGTTTCATAAACTAGAGTACATATGTATCTGTTCAATACATTTTTATATCTGATGCAGTAACTTGAATTGTTGGCCTTGTTGTTTACTTCTGCTTGACTGGGCCCAGTGTATGAACTTGCATTGTGTCCCTCCGCCTGCGTCCTGATTGGCTGAGGGACTGTAGACCAGGGGTGTCAAACTCATTTTGTTCCAGGCGTCGTATCCAACCGACTTTGATCCCAAAGTGTCCGGATCAGAAAACTCATGTCATATAAACCCCAAAAATAACAATAAGTTCAAATATTTGTGCAGAGAAACACAAATCTATTACAGAAATTTTTAATTGATGAACTCTTTCTTTTACAAATATTTTAATTTATGAACAACCTGAAACTTTAAGAAAAATACAATTTCAACAACACAAGTGTTTTAACATTAACTTGTATGTAAATAGGAATAAGTCCATTTTTGTTGTAAAATCCTGCACTCGGCTCCACTTTTCTCATGTTGGACATTTTTCTGATGAGGGTGTCACGGTCAACAGTCAAAACGATCGTCCTTTAAGAGCGTTTGGAAAGAGACAAGTCTTCATTTGTGCTGCTCTGGTGGGAGGGGCCACGTACAGAGACGCTGGAGACGCTGCTGTGATAAACACCACAGAAAATTAACAAGATTTTAATAGAAAATATAATTAAAATATTTTAGTAGAAAATCAACCGAGGGCCAGATTAAAGGTCTTGGAGGGCCGGATCCAGCCCCTGGGCCGTATGTTTGTCTCCTGTTCAGTACAGAACGTGTTCAGCCAAATTGACATAAATGTTGGATCTCTCAGTGTGAATCTGAAGTGCTGTATGTTTGCAAATTTCTCCCCGACAAAACCAACAACGTCGATGAAACGTTCTGCGCCGACAAAGGCTTGAGAAGATGTAAACCATCGAACAAAAAGTTGGACTTCTGGACACGCTGAAGGAAGAGAGAAGTTAGGCAGCTGTGTAAAATAATAATAATAATGATAATAATAATAAACTCAATGAACAAAAATGATAAAATCAATACATAAAAGCAGTACTAACAATATAAAACAGATAAAAACAATAAATAAATAAATAGACAGACTGAAAACATTCTAAAAAGAGCAGAACAAAGCAGAGTTTTTACTTTTCGTTAGACATCTTATTAGTGAGTTGTATTTAACACGTCTCACTTGAAACATGTCAGGGTAAATACCACTCACTAATAAAAAGTTGTCCGACTAAAAGAAAATAAGCTGTTGGCGTTTGAGAATCGCTGTAGTTAAAATGTGAGTTGGAGGACAGGTCAGACTTCACTGGTGGAATCTCAAACTTGTTTTGATTCTAATGGGCGCTATGAAAGATACGAATATTTCACCAGCAAGGACAACGCCACAGAAATGCTTTAACTCTTTCACCCATGAAGACGACGTTTGACGACCGCCCTTGAGTCCTTAAAGGTTGTATGGAGGATTTTTTTTTGTTTCAAGTTGTCAATGATAGATTATAGAGATGCAGTAGCCTTGTAATTATGATGACCAAAAAAAAGAGAATAAAAATTCATCAACTCTGGACGTGGTGGGGCTAAACATTTGCCAATAGATAACGACACTGCCTCGTTATCTGTGAGCTGACAGGCTGTCAATCAAACTCCCTACGTTTCTAGCGTAACTGACTTGCCTGCGCCGCCGGTACGTGGTTTACGTACGACTGTCACACAGTCCACAGACGCAAGACGCACAGACGCTGTTTACTCCACCAACGCAACAGTTCGTAGCGGCTTTTTTTTGACCTATATCTTCCTCGCAGTTTCGCAGTTCGCACAAAGTTTGTTGCAATGGCGACAAGAATCCAGGAGCAGTTCGCCGCAAAAGAAAGTCCGTTTTTGAGGTCGCTGAAAGAAGAAGACAAGGGGAAAAGCAGCGAAGCCAAACTAAGGTGATTCTTGTAGATTCATTCCAGCGATGGCGCGACTGAAGCAGACGCAGGGTCTAAAGACTGAACCACTGGTCCACAAATTACTCCTGGACAGGAAACTTCTGCTTATTAATGAAAACGTACTTTATTTCCAAGAGCTAGACAAACGTTTTTCAGGACACGAAAGCGATATCCTATGTCTGAAAACGTAATTTTCAAGGCAAAGAAAGAGTCCGCTTGCTGCTGCGTGTTGTAGCTAGTTCATTCGCACTGAATCTCCGCGCAACCTTCTCTGCACCCCTTTCCTGCTCCTGTCCCCACTGCCCGAACCGCTCTTCTCCCTGCTCCTCACTTCTCGTCCGCGAACGAAATCTCCGCACACCCGCTCCCCCCGCTCCTCACTTCTCCGTCTTGCCTAACCAACACTGTAGTTAGTTGTTTACAAGTCATGTGCAGCACCGGCTGTAAACAAACCTGTTTCTGGCGTAAAGGAGGAGGAGGGAGGAGGCGTTTCTACGTAGGAGCTGTAGGGGAGGGGGGGGTTTCACGCATGCGCAACATTTGAAAAAGGACAAACAGTCGCTGGATTTCTCGTTCCTTGGAAAATCCTCTATACAACCTTTAATGACGTGTTCTGACACCTCCGCTGTTTCACTAAAGACGTGATTTGACGACCTTTAGAAACGATTCGGTAAACAGAGGCTGCGATAGGTCGGGGCCACTACAACCCACACTTGGCTGACCAATAGGATTCAAGGATATGTTTTCGCAGATTTTTTTCCGAAGTTAATCTAAGTAGTGACGATTGTAGTTTCTGGAAAAAAACACAACATGAAACACGAGCAGTGGAAAGATTGCGGCGCACAGTTTTAGAAATAATGAGGAGCGGGCGTGTTTTATGGATAAGTTTAGAGAAAGTGACTTTTATAGATTTCAAAGTGATGATGAAGTTGATTATAAAGTGGAAAACAGCGATAGAGACGGACTTTCTGCGATGTCCCAACAAATTATCCGGGACTTTATACTCGATTATGAACCAAAATCGCCCCGAAATCTGGATGTTGCTCAGGCGAGTCCTTTGAAATATTTCAGTCTTTTTTTTTCCAAGATGAGATGTATAACAGAATCGCTACAGAAAAAAACCTTTATGTGGAGCTCTGCACACGAGAAAGAAACCAAGATGACAAATACTGGACCCCCTCTGACGGGGAAGAGTTTTATTATTATATTATTATATTATTATATTATAATAAGTTAAAGGAGTTGAATAAGTTAAAATAAGTTAAATTAGTTGAAAAGTTAATAAGTTGAATAAGTTGAATAAGTTAAATAAGTTGAAATAAGTTTAAAATAAGTTGAATAAGTTAAATAAGTTTGAATAAGTTAAAATTAAGTTTAAAAAGTTGAATAAGTTAAAAATAAGTTGAATAAGTTGAATAAGTTAAATAAGTTGAATAAGTTAAAAAAAAGTTGAATAAGTTAAATAAGTTGAATAAGTTAAATAAGTTGAATAAGTTAAATGAGTTAAATAAGTTGAATAATTTAAATAAGTTAAATTTGTTGAATAAGTTAAATGGAAAACACAAATTAGGTGAACAACAGGTAAAAACAGGTGAACACTTGGCTATACTGTATGTGATATGAAATCTGTTTACATACTTTGACAAAGTGTATTTGTATTTTTTTATGAATATAGTACTGAGAACCTGTATATATCAAATGCTGAATGTAGTTTTTTGTTTTCGATTTTGCACCTGACCAGGTAAACTCACATGTTCAGTGAGCTGTTATACACCTGTAAATGAGTTGAATCACATTTAAACATCCAGAAATGAAGAGTTCAGAGTTGAAGGTTTCCAGAAATACCAAATATGTCTGTGTCCTAGTGTGAAAATCATTTATAATCACTCGTGGAAGTCTGTTTTCTTTTATGAAATTATGCTCTATGGGTAGGCCTGGTCATATATGTATGGGTTGTAGGGATGGGCATTCGATGAAATTTTCCTAATCGATCGATTATCGATTAATCATTAACGTTTTTATATTAAAATGATCATCATTATTATT